AGACAGATAGGCAAACAGTCCACGCCCCTTCGAGGGGTTGAAAACAAACAACCTTCAAAGGGGCGTGGACTGTTTGCCTTACACCGTCTGCCTCCCTCCTCAACCCTAGCACTGCCTCCGCCGGCACGCCGGCACGCCGGCCGGCCGGCCGGCCGGCTGACTATGAAAGCAGCCAAAGAAGTTGGGACCCGCGCAAGGCCAATCGCCGTGCTGATGGACGGGTCGTCTGAGTATCTAAGTTAGTAAGTCCCTCAGTACCTAGGGAGGGTAGTCAGTCGACGTTTTCCAGACCAGCTTTTCTCTGGCTGCTTTAGTAAATCAGGTCCTTCCCACCTCTAATACGTCTCCGTCTCCCTCGCCGATGGACGATAATCCTTTTGGTCTGTAGGGTTCTCACCCGAAGTAACATGCCCGAACCGTGTGGGATTCCTCACAAAAAGAGGAGCGCCCGGCGTAGCCGGGTGAACCCATAAGAAGGAGGGAAGCCCGGCGTTAGCCGGGCGGCCCGACTGGTAATCTCTTAAGGAGGACGTGGAAGTCAGTAACTAGCGCACTCTAGGGCTGCCTTGATCAGCTGAGATCTGTGCAGAGGCGCGTTGCCAATTAGGAGGACAATATGACTGCACTAGAAATGAGAGAGTGGGCTCCGTCTCCAGTAGCTTGGTTGCCACGACTACCCCGGTCACGGTGTGTCCTCCGAAGAGAATCTTGGTGAAGAGTGGAGCAAGAGAGCACGAAAAGAAACATAGCATGATCTTTTTCCCATGAGGATCGTTCTCATACCGTGGCTTTGCTCCTTTGTCGAGTCACTGAAGTTTTTTGTGGGGATCATTGTACGTAATCCTTTTCTCATATTACGCCCTGAGGTACCTCTTCCAATCATAGTACGGGGAGGGAGGTGAAGATGATGGCCAGTTTGCTCTTGATGGTGGGCTGGTGAGTATGTGAAGTCAAGCCTCCTTCAAGCACGAGTCAGGATGTAATGGGCGGCGGAATTGGGGGTGGAGACAGCCCCCGATGCCTAACACTCTTTTTGGATCCGCATTCTCGTGAAAAAAATCTTTTCAAAATCGAATGCTGGTCTGCTGAACCTGCACCATATCGAGCAGGGAAGCGTCTACATTACTGGATAGAGCTATTTAAAAGTAAAGTAAATGGGATCGATTCGGACTCGAACGCAGAAGATAAATTCTATTGGCAAATGCCGCTCAGTGACATTGAGAAGGCCCCTCATTGCTATACGCCTATTTAACAGTGATTTCCATGAAGGAGTTCTATCTCGACCAATCAAATTTACTTACCACTAGCCCTTAGCGTAATCGTTTTTTACTCGAATATAGATGACTAGTTCTCTATTCTCGCCCATCCTATTCAAGATACATATCGCGAGAATGGTAAAAGAGATATTGTTCCTCATTTCCGTAAACAAGCAGTGTTGCAGAGAAGAGTAAAAAATCTCTTACTTTCATTCATATTAACAAAGAACTTTGATTTCTAGCTCGCACGCAAAGCAAATAATGATAACAACAATTGATCGATATCAGTATTCCAGCAGCACAACTGAAATCGAATAGGAAGCACATCATGATCACACTGAAATTTCTAAAATGCTAATTTTTTCTGATTTCTTCACACGGATCACCTTCGCTGTAGAGCTCCTTTCGAGCTTCCGGAGTTCGTATCACTTCACCGTCGTAACAAATGATATGGATAAACTGTGTCTTTTTCCCATCTTCCTCTGCAGCTTTTAATTTTTCCTTCCATTGCCGTCGTTCGCCTGTGAACTTTGCTATCTTCTCTCTCCTCTGATCCTGCAGCTTCTGGAACTCTTCTAATCGACGTTTGTGCTCTTCCCGACGCATTTCCAACTCTTTCATAAACTCTTCGTTACGTCTCCTTTCTTCTTCTCTACGGATCTCTTCTTGTTTTCGTCTTTGTTCCTCTCCCAATCTCTGCTCCTCTCGTCTTACCTCTTCCTCTCTTCTACGTTGTTCCTCGTATTCAGTGTCTATCCTATTCAGCATTTCTTCCTCTTCCCAGAGACGTCTCTCCTCTGCTATCCTGCGTTCCTCTCCAACCTTTCCCCGTTCCTCCTCCACACGCCTTCGCTCTTCCTCTATCTCCTCCTCCAAACGCCCTCGTTCTTCTTCTAGCCTTCTTCTTTCTTCTGCCTCTCTCAGACGTTCTTCTCTGAGGCGACTCTCATGCTCTCCTCTTTGACCTTTTTCCTCCACTAACCGCAAACGCTCTTCTCTTCTCAGCTCTTCCTCCAGCCATCTCTGCTCTTCGAACTTTCTGAGCCTCTCTTCCTCTAGCCCCCGTTCTTTCTCTGGCCTTCGCTCCTCGCCGATTCGTCTCTGCTCCTCATGTTCCCTCACTCCCTCTTCTTCCCAAAGACGTGCGCCTTCCTCCTCCAGTGATTCTTGTTTTGAAAGCCGTTGTCCTTCCTCTCCATCTTTGCCCACTCTTCTCGTATCTTCGTAGTGTGGAGTAACGTACCCATGAGCTTCCGTGTAATGTAGCGGTGGTTCAGTCACATCAAGAAGATGATCGGCTTCCGTTACTGAGGCAGAAATTCCTGGCGGTCCTTGAGCTGGAGAAACTGTCGGAGGTCCTGGTTGAACTGGAGGAAGTGTAGGGAATCCTGGTAGACCTGGAGCTGGCGTAGGCGTAGAAATTTTTGGAGGACCGGTTTTAACTAGCTTGTCCCAAGCTTGCTTCTCTGGAACAGTTCTGTTGAATGCAGAACCGACGACGACCACCTGAAATAGAAGAGTTCACAATGAACAATTCAAAAGTCTATACAAAGGAGTAATTGTGAATTGTCCAAATTCTATTTGATGAGTAACACAAGTGCACGAATTTTTTTTTTGTTGGATAAAAGTTCCGTTTTTCCCGCTTTTGTGGTGCGTGATGGTCTCTAGTAGCGCAAGATGGGAGAGGAAAATTTTTCTCCGTCAACTACAGACCTCCTTGAAGTAAACTCAGCACGCAACATAAAAGACGGGAAACGGATTGTGACCTGTGTGAGTTAACAAACATAGGCAGTGAAAATTTATCTACCTACTCTCTGCTCTTCTACTTGGAAGAAGGCAGAGTAAACATGAGTGGGTTGGGCACTCAGTCCAGTTCAAGAATAAGCCTAAAGGCGCTTACAGCAGATCATTTCAAAAAACGGAAAAGGTTGTGAGAATAGCTAATCATAGGTGACAAAAAAGGTATCCTAATACATGATAAATATTCAAGCCATTCAAGTTTACTATTCTTTGGAACTTGATAGGTTGAAACCAGCCTCGTCTTGGAGGGTAAAAGCACTGACCTCTACATCGGCTGGCCATCGCAAGCCGTTTATAGTCATGTACACTTTAAAAACGTCACAACGACCGTTCTCAAAAGATGGTTACCACCTCAAAGTTACATTTCTCAAGAGTTCCATCTTCTTTGATCTCTCCTCAAACACACAAAAGTTACAAGAGACATATCGGTCACATAAAAGGGAAAAGGTCACATAAAAGGAAAAACCTTCTTGCGAGAGCCCTTTTCAAAATTTAGAGTGTATTGGAACATTAAAATTTGGGATAGATATACCAACAGACAGAAAATCGGTCATAAAGAAAGGTATGAAGGACGATAACCTGCAGAGCGAAGATATTGCAGAATATAAGGAATTTCACCAACAGTGATCACCCACCTATAAGTGTGATCGTTGCTGTCCAAAGATGTCGACACTTCAACATGTGGAAACCTTGACTATCTTGAAGAGGTGGAGTGAGGATAGTCTTTCGACCTCAATCAGATTCATTTCTGGAAGACGCCACACATTCGACTTCTCCTCAAAATCTTTGTGGGGATTCAGATAAGCATGTGGTCTACACAATCCACACGGCCGATGTTGAAGTCAGTGCGTTTAACCTTAAAAAAGAGCCCGGTAACAAATGGGTCCGAGATTCCATGTATAGACTATGCGTAACGTGGTGTGCGTCACTCGCCACCTCACCACATCATCCTCTAATATACATCAAACATTATTATACTAGGCTTGTTTCCTTCTATTTCAGAAATCAGACCGAAAGAGGGTCCAATAAATGCAAGGTAATTTCAGAAAAGAAATTCCTACGATTTAGATGATTTTTTCATGTGTATTTTCGAAGCTCGCTATACTCAATTTTATTGGTTAGCTTTCGGCATATACCGGCATATAATCTTCTTCGGACCATAACGTTACAATGCATAGTTGCAAACAATCATTCAGTGAACAATTACTACATAGAACACATCGGATCCTATCGAACCAACCGGAAATATTGGGGAAGGGAAGGGTGAACATATTAGCTGGGAACTTGAAAGAGAAATGGGACACCACTCTCCTTCTAAGGCGACGGAGTGTGATCACTCAATCAGTCGCAGGACGTCACGTATCGCCTCCTTTGCATTGATTTCCGTTTTGTTACGGTATATTTCCCGTAATTCCATGATTTTCCTTTGGGGCACGTAAAAATAACGGTTTAAAGGCACAGTTCACGATAGATTTGGGGTATCCGGTTTCTGACGGATGATGAAAGTAACAGTGCAGAATATTGCAAAGATAATGGAAACAAATGAGAAAAACAGCGTATTTACAAAAAAAACAAAGCTTTTCAAAAAGTGGTTAAATAAGGGACTGGACGAGATTGTGATGGAGAATGGTGTGGAAGAGGTGTGGGGGACGGAACATTCGTCAATTTCCGGATGGATGCGGCACTGCGCGGCGAAACTTGTGGTGATTTGAACGACTATTGCGTTGCGCTTATCATTGGGCACAGATTTGGGTAGATAAGTAGCATCAGTTGGCCCATCTTATTTAATTATTAACGCACATGCATGCATGTCATGTCATGTCATGTGCATGTAAGCATGTGAAATAAAGGGTGATAATACAGTATTACCGTTGAAGAAGAATCGAGAATAAACAACAAGGTCCTTAACTAAACTTAACTACATCAAGTCGACTAATTAATAGATTTCTTGAAAGTACGATAGCTAGTAGATTCCGGCGCAAAAGAGAATAGAGCCTGACCTAACTCTGCTACTAAAAATTTGCGACTTAATTTGGGTACTTGCTAGCATGGTTGGAACCTCGCGTATTAGGAAACACAACTGTGAAAAACTTTGAAACATCCACAATAGCTATGCCTTTTAAAATTTTGTAGCCATAAGTATGTATATCAAATTTTTTCCTTCTCATTCAAGAGATTTCAGACTGAGTATCTTATTACTAGTTCCACTAGGTATTTCTTTATAATTCGAACGATGACTCTGAATCATGAGTTTGGCAGTGAAACTATTTTGTAGTCCTTCCAAAGTATATGCCTTTTTCCTTATCGGGTGCAAAAACCGTAGATCCACATTCCAAAATGGGACGAACGCATACCTTAAAAGCCTTAAGCAAAGTATTAGAGTCATTGGTGCGAAGAACCTTGAAGACGTTGAAATTTCGACGAGGGCTTTTGAAACTAATACTTTATAATGATTGGAAAAGTCAAGAGTCCTATCAAGGTGAAATCCCAGCAGCAATCCGAGCATGCTTGCCCAGGCATAACATTTGTGTTTTCAGATTCGGAAAGAAAAGATGATTTATTACAGACCATTCAACTGCTTTATTAATCGCTCTTTGGAAACTTATATGTATCAGCAACAACTCCAGAGACCTCTTTATAGATTTTTTGTCGTCTCCGTAAAACTTGCAAACACCGTCAAGATCCTTAAGAAAAAAAAGAAACCTAGAAAAAAGAAAAGAGGAAAAAAGAAAAGGAAATTTGGGAAAGTAAATTAAGAACCCAAGGAAAGTCTGAAGTAAATATGGTAAGCAGAACCGGTGAAAGTACCTCAGGTTGAGATACTCCTGATTTTACAGTACGAACAGGTGAGTAAGCGTCCTTCACCAGAGTGTTCTGTTATATAGAAATTCTTTTATCAAGCTCCTCACAAGGGGATGGACTTAGATGCTCTGGTTTTCTAACCAGTAACTCATGAGAAACCCTATCAGATGCTTTTTGGAAATCAGAATAAACCACATTCACGTTCTTCCCCCGATCCAAAGGCGTTTCCAGCCACTGGGACAATCCAGTAAAGACGTCTCAGTACATCTACCTTTACAAAAACCATGGAGAGACTTTGGAATTATACCAAACTTATTAAAATGAGAAACTATGTATTTCTTGAGAATTTCCTCGGAAACTCTGGCAAAAATAGAGGTCAAGCTTATAGGCCTATAGCTTCCAGGATGAGATAGCGGCTTTTTCTTGAGCAGCGGAATGACAATAGCATGTTTCCATCTACTTGGCACTTTACTGTTCATGACACTGAGGTTAAATAAGGACTAAAGAGGACCAGTGATTTCATGAATACATTGCTTAACAACCAAATATAAAACTCCACCAGGATTATTTGAGGCTGATGATGCTCACTCGAGCACCATCGCAGCAGTATCTTCTTTATGAAACCAAGGAGCAGGACCAGTGCAATCAATACTAGGATACAACGAAGGTTCCATTACAGGGCACGATGAAGCAAAGGCTTTTTTGAAAGTATCAGCTAACAACTCAGCTTTGTTTTTAACAGTTTATTGCCCTTATTAAATCCTTGCATAACGTAGCAAGGCATGAGTTATCTAAAACCCTCGAATTCAGGATTCAGTAAAAAAAACCTTTGACCCCACCTTTGGATAAAATTTTGGCATCAACATAAGCACAGTATTTACTCGGGTTTTTAGTATTTTTTATCGAATGAATAATATCTTTCAGTCTGAAGGGGTAATTGCGTAATCACGGCCGAATTCCAAGGCTGACCCCTTCTGATTCACAATCCCTCGCTACAAGATACCGGGGGAACTCAGACATTGATAGAGAGAGATTTTTAAAAGGCATGAAGAGATCCATCGCGTGGTGTATGATAGCAAGAAACATTTCTTTTTTATCACCCACTCCTGAAGGAACCTAGCCAATCAACATTATTTAGATAATTACGCATAGCAAAAAAAGCAGCTCTTAAAGTCCCTACACTACCTATGTACAGGGGCGTGTCTAGAAAGTGATAAGGAAAATTCAGTACCAGAGTGATAAATTCTTCTAATGGGAGACACCTTAGAAATTGAGTGTAGTGATGTTGAGTTGTTGATTAATAATAATTTGAGGAATGAATCCAATCTCACAAGATTGGCGATTTGTGGGCAAAACTCCAGTCTCGGACGGGACTCGAAAGCGGTTAACAAAACATCAAGTCAAAACAAGTTGAATCCAATCTAATGGGAAGCGAGATAAATCGAATGAAACCATGATTAGTAAAGCATCCAGTAAACTTAGCTCCGAAACAATCATTGCTTTCAACACAAGGAAACCAAGTAATTTGAGGCAGATTGAAATCTCCAGCAATAACACAAGGTTTGTTCAAGGAAGATAGATCACTAAGGGCCTTAAGGAGCTGGTCACTGTAGGGAGAGGAACAGTCAGGTGCTCTATAAACAGCAATTAATCTTATTCGATCTAGGTGGAAAACTATGTCGCAAAATGAAATTTCGTAAGTTTTGGATAGATCCACTCAGAACAACCGCTGTAGGATGTGGAGATTTTACTAATATGACTCCTCCTTCCGTCTTGAATTTTCTATCAGTTCTGAAACATGTATTGGGTGAAGCAGCAATACTTAATGGCGGGGCAACACCATGCTTAGAATTCAACCATGTCTCAGTAAGAATTGCAATGTCGCAGTTTTAACTACAAAGATAAGCCGTCAAAGCATCAGCATTTCTTACCAATGAACGGATGTTGGCACAGAAACATTTCAACAAAATAGTAATTAGCCGAGGATATTTTATGCGTTTTCCGAGACATTTCCACTAGACATTGAATAGGGAGTATTTATCTGAGTAGACTCATTACTAAAGTGATTGGATAAGATGGTGAACAGAGTTATCTAAGCTCCAATCTAAATACTGATCCAACCCAATCCAAGCTCTTGTGTCTTATCCGATTCTCTTAAAAGCTGTGCTCCAGTTATAGGCTCCAGAATTGTTCAAATCATCACGAATTTCGTCGCACAGTTTGCCGGGCTTGTCCAGAATTGGGGAATACTCATACCCAGGATGTATTTGGGCGAGCTGTCCGCAACGTCGGCAATTACATATTATTGCGTAGCTTGTTTAATAGGTGCTGATGAGACGGGTTTGATCCCCTCAAAAATCCGCTGCATTGTGGGCATTTTGATGCACCTAAGCATCCAACGGAGCCGAAAGGAGCGAGTCCTGGCGCGAACAGCGCAAGTTGTATCGCTCCTGTAACTCTACAGGAATACGACGAATCCGGTAAAGTGGCTCCTTTTACGTCCTATCTCTTGAGTTTTTCAGCCAGAGAGCGTCCTTTGTGTTAACTGTTAACTTGTGCTAACTCTCCAGAAAATTAGGGTTAATCGTGTTCTCCTCCTAGTGTTGCCCAGAATTTGTATTTGAAAATAAATCCTTTTTTCGAAGTCTTTATAGGGAAAGGCTTCTCAAAATTTCATTCCGAAATCAACACTCCACCTCGAGATCTGCAGCAGAAGACTGGAGAACCAACCAGTAATGGAGTAATACAGTGTGTTTCATAATTATAAGGTCACCCTCAAATTTTGCACTTTCAGAAAAAGCAATAATTAAGGATTTTTTCTAGCATCATAATCGGATTCCTCATCACGATTAACCTGGGTTTCCGTTCTTTGGTGGCAGCTGCATTTTTCTGAGCTTTTTTAGAACAGTTTATCGGTTTTTGCACCGTTTCATAATTATAAGGTCACCTTGAGAAAGTGAACAATTATTCATGGAAGAGAGGAAATTTCGTGTTTAAAGATACTTGTAAAGGTGAGCATGTGTAGCAAATGCATTTCTAAACCTGGCTATCAACATGACTC